AAATGCTGCTCGGCGTTTTGTAGGAAATGCCAGCCTGTCCTGGCTGTCCTGTCTCTCGTTGGCACACACACATACACACACACACCTCCCGGGTCCTGCCTTCCCCAGTTAGTTTCATTTGCCTTTTACATTTCCACACATTTCCTACTTTTTCGACTTTACACTGCGAGAAAACCATAACTATATCTGTGCCTGTTAATTCCATCATATTTTAGCATTTACTGAACAAATTTTGAATACGAAAATAGTTGGGATTCGCAAAAACATAAGCAAAGTGGCATTAAAACAACACTAACCCCTACAGCTATTTGGTCAATGCTTTTAAAAAGCACTACTTTTGATGGATTCACTTCGGTATTTTAATAATTTGAAAGTTAATTTTTGTAGTATAAAGGTTTTATATAGTATTGATTCAATTTGAATTTACCCTATTTAATCTTCAAAATGTAAAGAAATTTGTGTCTAATTATGTACAAATTTTCCTTAGTGTAGTTGCGTGTCTGTGCATAGACGACCTACTCAAAAGAGGGAAATATGGGCGGAAAAAGGGGGAGGATGAAGGATGGGCGGTGGGGACAGCGAGACGACGCTTTGCATATTTATTTTATTTGATTTCTGTTCGCTTTTTCCTACGTTATTTTTTTTAGGTTTGGCGGGGACTTGATATTCCCGCTTATATAACAAACGCGACGTGTGATTAAAAATTCGTAATTTGCCCGTATATTTCGTACACCTTCCCTAGCTCACCTGCTTTCCTTCTTTGTGTGTCATGTTTTTTGTAGCATACCTGAGGCGTTCCACTTTCCTCTTAAACTTTTCCCTTCGTTTTTTTTGTTTTGAGCGTGTTTTGTGCCATTTTTTTCCGCTGCTGCGGCCGTTGTTGTTGCCGTTCTTCGTGCTTCATTAATATTTAATTAAAAAATCAATAGTTGACATGTAAGTCAACTTGGTTTGTTCCTCTTTCGGGCCAGGTTTGTTTTACCACTTCCGCTTTTTGGGCTTCTTTGGGCGCTTTTCTTTCGGTCTGCCCTAACTTATGCATGTGCATTTGTGCATATCTTATTATAAAAGATTTTCTTCTGGCTTCGTGTCGTCTACGTGACGCTTCAGTTGAAGGAATATCTTAAGAAAACCACACCCTATATGCTGGCAAAAACAAAATTGAAAAGTCTGGAAAAGGGCGGAGAAGTACATATTGGTGGGATATATGACTAGAGTCTAGCAAAAAATAGCTGAAAAAGCTATCTTAGACTTCCTTTATGGTTAGGTTTATTTTTCATGTTCATATTTGTTAGAAAATATCTCTTTAACGAAGATTTGAACTTTAATACCACCTTCAATACACCTTCAAAGCTCTCAAATATCCAAAGACTGCATTGTATACTCCAAATAATATGTATAACGATATTATTGTTTTGGTTAAGCTTTTAAATAATGGTACAAGGAGCAGCGCCATTGTTCAAAGTTGATTTGATTTGATTTTGATTTGATTTCCTGCGGGTAGTCAAGACTTTAAGTTTGAGTTCATGTGTTCAAAATGCGATATATATTTGAAATTTTAGACTTAATTTAACACGCTTTCCTGATAGTTTAAATTGCCCACTAAACATTAAATTATTTCCTTTAAAATATGCTTCAATAATCATTCTTTCTCAAACAATTAGCTTATGCTACGAGTACTAATGGAGATAAATCATTTTTAATCATGAACTCTAGTTTTTTAACAATTGAAACGTTTCATAAATTGTGTTTTATTTATTTATTTTGGCAGAAACCATTGCAAGTGGTTTTGTTATTGAAAAGAAAAGCTTTGAAAACTAAGTTTATGTGTAAACGTTTATAAACTTACATTTGAATTAAATGGTTCATGAATGAATTGCTTTGCGTGCAAAGTATAATGACATCTTTTCCCCAGTTGACAATCAGTACGCTGCATTTGCTTATCAGCAGCATAATAAGAATAAAGCTTATGGAATAAAGTGGAAATGCACATATTTCCATCCGAATCGGTACGCAAAGTAGACAAGACAAAGTCACGTAACTCAATTCTTTGCTCTGCTTATCAAAACGCGCACTGAGATCTCGTTTAAGATTTATTGACAGCAGCACCGGAAACGGGAAATGGGCAAGGCACATGTTCCCCGTGTGTTACCTGCCTTTTATTTACGCGCAATTAACCCAGTTCGACATGCCGCTTTTTTAGCAAACGGCCCCCACACTCATGTATATCCTGCATTTATCATAATTACTTCCCCAGAAATTAACCGCCAAAAAAAAAGAAGGAAAACGCAAAGAAAAAAAGGGAACGCTGCTGATGATGATGAGAACGTTGATGAATACCCTGGGCTTAAGCGTAATTCTGGAGCTTTGGTTAATGTTTTTAATATGCCTCTGGCAACTATTAAGCGCACTTGAAAAGCTGAACGTTAAATGCCAGGCGCATATTAAACATCAATTATTAATGCCAAAGAGTTAAGGGTTCTCGCGGAAATGAAGTCATTCGCATAGCATACATTCGGGGGCTCTCCTTTTCATCCTGTCCATTTTAGAATGTGTATGCTCACGTTGTATGCAAATACTCAAACATCGAAATGCGCTTAGCAATTATTTTAAAAATGCAAAAAACCCGAAAAAAGAAAGCACAAGAACAACGACAATTGCAATTTCAGTTGAGCATTGAACCAAAAAGGACGACGCAAAACGTTCCCACACCCGAGTTTACACAAAAAAAAATAAGTTTCAACCAATTGAACTAGAAATTTTGAGCTTTCAAACAAGATTTATACACTAGCAATTAAATCTCGCACTTACATTTTGTTATTGATTACAATAAAATTTGTTTGAACAGTTCTTAGTTCACTTTTACCACATACATATTTATACATACATAGATTTTTCGTAATGTATTACATTTTTTTCCTGTGTAGGCAGCGACAGAACATGAAACATGCAAACTGCCTAGGCTCGAGTGCCATAAAAACTGGAGTGAACAATATACAAAACTTATTTTCAAATCAAACAACAGCAACAGCAAAAACTAAAGTCCATGGTGAACATGGGCAAAAGGCGGGGGGCGGGGCAATGGCAACAGTGAAACGGTTACAACAAAGTGCCAGCTGCTAGACAAAACGGAGAATTGGAACTCGGTACAGTGGTAGTTTGACTTACAAAAATCCACATATCAGCTAAACATTTTTTTGCGTCGTCAAAATTGATCTTTACTGAAACATGAAACAATTATGTATTGGCTTTAATAAATGTTTCTACGGCTTAATGTTAATAGCCTCATTTAAATATAACTCTCGTATTAATTGAAATTCACTCAAACTTTGTTTCCATAGTTGATAATAATTATATGGAAAAAGATACTGATAGTATTCTTTTTGTTTTTAATAAAAGTTAAATTACAATTTACTCCTTTAAACAGAAGTTTGAAAATATTTTTATAATGAACTGGTTTGTCATCTGATTGATCTTCCCATAAAAAGGCATTGTTTAATTATGATTTTGTTTGTTTTTCCAATTTATATGTGAAATTAAACTTTGGAAATATATCTGAAATCACTGCTCTATTGACACGGTCCATCTAGGCACTTTCGACTGGCTGACTGGCACAAACCAGAGTTCAGACTAACAATTTCCCAAAAATGTCACATTGCGCGCATGAAAAATGTCCTTGTGACAAGCGCCAACGCCAAGCGGCGTTGTGCTGTGTGTGTGTGTGTCTGTGAGGTCCTTGGACCTGTGTGTGTGTGTGTGAGTCCTGGCTGTTCATCAACAAGGTCATGAGTAAATACGTTTGGAGCATGCTGTTTTTGCCGTTTATTCTCTAACAAAGCCAAGGCAGGAACAAGAACAAAAAGAAAAGTAAATCAAACAAAACAAAATAAAATAAAATAAAATACAAAAAGTGAAAGAAACAAAAGAGATGGGAAGAGGAAGAGAGCGAAATAGCAGGACAGAAATTTATTGCCATATCTGTAAAATAAAGGGAAGCTTCTGCTGATGCTTCTTATTGATATTTATACAAAATACATTGGCACACAGACATATGTTTTCGATTCCTGTGCGCGTGTGCTTGTATGTTAGCCTCATTTATAATGGCGTCTGCTTGGCAATTTGTTGTGTGGCAAAAAGAAACGCAAATGTGTATCGGTAAATCAAAAAGGACATTATTGGCTGCTTGTTAGACGTAAGCACAATTGCCAGCCATTACGTAGGTGTCTCTGTGTGTGTTTGCCTCTGTCCATGTGTGCGTGTTTGGTATGTCCTGTTTGTGTTTGTGTTTGTGTTTGCCAATGGACGACCGCTAAGTGCGCTTAAGCGTCAAACCAAATTGGCCGGCCCTTTGTTCTTCATCGCTTAGCTGAAAGTGCACTTTACCTTTTCCACCCATAACCTCCTCCACCCATACACACACAACTTTACAACTCACACAAATACAAACACAAATACAAATACAAAAAAAAAAAAAACACTCTCATTCACGCACGAGTATTTTACTACTCGAAACTTATTTGCTATTCACACTCGATTAATCGAAAGCGTTTCGCTTATGGCTTTGATGCAACTTTTTAATTGAATTCGACCGGCTGATGGAAAGTTAAGAAACTTCCTTTGATTGCGTTCCATATCCAATCGTTGTGCTAGATAGTTTCCAATTGATTATTTATTTATATCCGTTTGGCTTTAAGTTTTTAAAGAAAATTGTATTGGATTTGATCGTTTTGTAATGAATAATAAATCCATATTGAATGTACTTAAATTAAAATCTTGTGAAATCTTCAATGTAAGCCGATCACATAATTTTCAGATAGAATAAAATAAAAGAAATCTTGATAACATTTTTTAAACTTAAACTTAAATGAAATTAAATATTCTGTTCAAACAGGAAAAAGGATTTGTATCGATACTTTGTTAAGAACATATTTTCAACATAGTTTTCACAGATCTTTACTTACAGGTTTTTAAATGATTGAAAAGTACATGTGTGCGTAGCTAAATTTTTGTTAGTTTCATCCGGAAAAATCGCAAATATTTTGTGGCCAGTGCCGCAGAATGGCTATCGTGTGCACGTCAGTCCAGGGCCATGGCTAAGTGAGTGGCAATGTGTGAGCACGGCAATTTTCAACTATTTATGAGTCCGGAGGTCCCTCCCCTCCCCCATTTGGATGGTGTGGTAGGGGAGGGGAGGAAAGAGAAGGGGGCTTGGGCTCCTCCTCCGGGAGTGTGGCACATGGAGCTGCCGCCTTTGTGCTAACCTGTTTTTGTTTTTCCAGCCAAAGTTGGCACATAAATAATGAAGCACGGGGCATAAGTTCCCATTGATTTCGCAGTGTGTGCCACTGAATGTGTCTGTGTGTGTGAGTGTGTGTGTGTTTGCGGGGAGGATGAGTGCGGTGGTGGACTATTCACCGTATGACTCTGGAGATTAAGCCATTGTTTGCACTGAATGTGGCGCTCAGTCTGAGCTGCGGCTTAGCGGCCTGCGTACGCAAACAAAAGTTGTTCGAGGGATTGCAGATTGAATGGTGGAGCGGGTGTTTTAACCCAATTCCGGATGGGTAATACCCGTAACGAGCGTGGGAGTCGATTAGGCCTTGACGAAATCATGAAAAAACGGCAAACGTAATTGCACTGCTCGTTTGTGCAGATGGTTTATAAAACTTTAATGTTATGGTTTAATATACTGCAGTGTTTATGAACGTAATTTCTAAAAATAAATTATATTTTAGGAAACCTGTGCTTTAATTCAAAAACACACCAATCACAACCTTTTCCTTAATGATATATCATAAAATATTGTTGATAAACAAATTTGTTCCTTAAATGCTTCGCTCTTTATAGGTTTTAAACAGAAAAATGTAATACAGAGATGTTCAAATCCAGCTGCATTTTTTTAGTTACCACATATATGTATCTTTCATGTTTATCCTTCATTAATGGTGTCCTATCTATTCCAGCTCCAGCAGTGTAATGCGCCTTGGGGGCAGTGGCATTCCATACGACGGCGACCCCCTGACAATGAGCGCAGCTGGCAACGACTATGCCGAACTCTGTGATCTTGGACCCTCGCGATGGAGTGCCCGACCCTACGGATACAATGCGACCGCAGCGGCAGCCGCCAGCTTTGGCCTTGGGCCCTCGATGGGCGGGACGCAGTCGTCGTCGAGCGTGCCGACGGGCGGATCGGCGGGGCTCAGCGGGCACCACCTGCGCGGTAGTGGGGCGCCGGGGCCGAGCAGTTTCGAGGCGGAGGACATTGGCCTGGCCTTTGGCATGATCAGTCCGCCGCCGGGCAGTGGACCCTATGGCGGATCATCGGCGGCAGCAGCGGCGGCGGCGGCAGCCAGCGGATCGCGCGTAGGCAATAGTACCAGCTCGCTGCGCGGCGCAGGCGGTCGATCCGGATTGTACTACTCGCCGCCGGGCACCTCCTACACGATCATCGAGCGCCCCCACTCGCCGCACTACTACTTCAACTCGGCAGGCGTGCCCACCAAGGGCGGCTCGCTGCCGGGGCGTGGCAGCGCCTATCTCAGCTCCTCACCCGCCAGCCACATGGCCGCCGGAACGGCGGGCACCCTGCCCACCTCGACGGCCGCCAGCGGACGGTCGATGGGCCAGCACGCCAGCAGCAACGGCAACAAGAAGCGGCCCATCTCGCCGGAGCAGGTGCTGCGCATGTTCGGAGCCACCCAATCGTCATCAGTTCCTACGAGTAGCTACCACTACAGCAACGGCGGCACGCGGGAGCGGGATCGCACGGGCAGGCGCAGCCCCGCCAGCAGTCCGCCCTCCACCACCCACCAGGTGGGTTCTCTTTACCTTTACATACCTACAAAGCAAAGAACTTAGGGAAATAAGTAAAAATAATCGTTAATGGCTTTTAATTTTAAGAGTCCACCAAATTGGGTATGATTTAAACGCACTTTGTGGACGCTGGTGAAAATAGTTTAATAATGATGCTTTTAAACAAAAATAACAGTGGTTCTATTAAGTTAAAAGTTTATTATAACCATTATTCTCAAGCCATGGTTAAAATCTCTATAGACATATAGTCAGTCTTTTTAGTGTTGCTGCCTGCAACACTAAAATCTGAGAAAATAAATGCCGAAATTATTATACACGCTAAATCAGATTTTAAATATATAATTTTTGGCTTTAAAACATATGTTCAAGCCTTAAGTTTTCTGGAATTGTGATGAATTTAAGTAATCAAAATCTTATTAAAGCGCGAACAATGCCCTTCAGTTTGAAATTCCCTTAAAATAATTTTGAGTGCGGAAATTGTAAGGCAGTCTCTTTTTTTTAAATGATACATGAAGTATACTTATCTTTTGGGTCTTCATTTTTCAGATTTATCGGGATCGGGAGCGGGAAAGGGATCGCAGTGTCCCGAATATCCACGAACTTACCACGCGAACCGTTTCCATGTCGCGCGACCAGCAAATCGATCATGGTTTCGGCATTTGCGTCAAGGGAGGCAAAGACTCAGGTGAGTAAAGGGATATCTATACTGTTTACCTTTTACTTGGTTCAACTAGTCGTATACGTAATGCCAAAGCTGTATTTCTAACTCCAAATAAGGAACTTAAGCCATGGTTTTTATTAAATTAGTAACTTGTAGAATATTTAAATATTTTAAAAGGATTTAGTCAGAATGAAAATAACTAGTATTAAAGTGCGTATTTTGACGCATTTATGGAAATTGATTTTGATTATAATAACAAAGAACTGTAAGCAAGTTAAGCCCTCCGTTTCTCGGAAAATGTTTTACCTATTCAATTTTCCCCGTGCTGTTTGATTCGATGTCACGCCCAGTCGCTTTGGCTGACGGTTCTCCCAGTTCCTTTTGGCATGGGAAGCTCTTAGGTGCAATTTAGTTTTCAATTTCGTTTTATTGTCCGGGTCTCTCAGAGCCGGGGTGTCCGTCCGCGTCCGTGTACAAGTAACCACGTGCATTGGCATGCATGTTTGTGTGTGACAAACCGCCAGCAGCTTTGACATTTCCAAGTGCATTTTGCACCTGACTACCTTTTTGGCTAACCAGCTCTTCCTGCCCCCCTCTTCCTATGCCACTGCTATTGCCTCCCCTTCCCCTCCCCTTCATTTCCATTTCCTGTCGTTGAATGTATTTTTAGTTTGCAATATGCGCACGGCTTTAAAATCGATAAAAATCTATTTAAGTTGCCCCCGTATGCAGGCTTCTCTTTTACTCATCCCACCTCTTCAGTTTTTCCTCTTTTCCTCGACGCCATTGTGCAGATTCACACACACACACACACACACGTACACGTGCTTTATAAATTAAACATAAAATGGCTGCCGCACTCCATCCTCAATCCTCTGTAAAATGGCAGAGCTTAATGAAAAACATCGAAAAAAAATAGGGGCTCGAGGAAGAAAGGGGTTTGGGAGTGGGTAATTCTGCCTGGGGGTGTGGTGGAACTTTTATTAAAAATTGATTGTGTGAGTGGGCTGACTAATTGATTTCCCCCCTCCACGTTTTTTTTTACGCTCCCCCCGCAGGCTTAGGCGTCTACATCTCACGCATCGAGGAAAATTCGGTGGCCGAACGCGCCGGTTTGCGACCCGGTGATACAATCCTAGAGGTGAATGGCACCCCCTTCACCTCAATCAATCACGAGGAGGCGCTGAAGGTGAGCATCTCTCAAAATATTTACGCCCGCATAAATATTTATATCTCTTTTGATCTTTATTAAATATTTTGTAGTAGCTAATGTTATTTATACTTAGATAAAATTCGATCAAAGCACACAGATATGTGGGTGAAAAAGAAGGGTGCTGTCAGTCCCAAAAATAAATATTTATTGAATATTAAAATTTACGGGTTAGAGGACAAAGTATTAGAAAAAGGGCAAAAAGAACTTGCCAGATATTTTAAGAAAGGAAATAAGTATGCAAAATACAAAGCCCTTTTCAGATATTATAACATTGCATATTGAATAGATCGAATTAAAGTCAAGTTTATTTTTGCCAAATCAAAACAGACTGGAAATAAATTCTGAAGGCAATTTAAAATCTTTTTAAGGGGACACGAACAATCCCTATTTCTGAGAATTTTCATCTTGTCCTGCCATTCCTCCATCTTTGTCGCTGCCTTTCGTTCGACCCTGACAGCCATGTCAAATTTTTCTTCCATCAAAAAATATCTAATTTTATTGTACATTTTATTGATTTTTAATGTGATTTTCTAGCCAGGCCGTGCTGGTATCGGCAGCCTCAGTTTGTCAATCGCTGGCCCTTAATAGTTGCCCATAATGGGGTTCTATCCATCAAGCATGTGTGTACATATGAGCAAACATGCTACATATTTATATACACGTACATTGGGTAAACTGTATTCAGTAGGCCACCATCGTCTTTTATGGCCGACACTTGACAGAGTAACCAAAAGAAAAGGATTTTGTACCGACCGCCTGCCAGTTGGCAGCTGCCTAACAACGAAAGTCAATTTATTGTGGAATATTTTATGTGACACGTTATCATAGTCAATGTAATTCTTTCTAAAACATATTACTAGATGGCTAAAAGGACGAAGGCTTAGCGAATACTGACACATGGTGTGCCATTTCTCACGCTTTCTAGCAATTTAAACTTTAACCGTTTTCGACAGAACTTGTTTGGGGGCGCACACAGCGAAGATAAACATAAATGCAAATATATAGACTGACATTTCACCCATACCCCGGATCGATTTCTGTCTGCTTTGAGCGATTTTTCGTAGTTGTTTCCTATACAAGTATATATAAATCTTTATGCACTTGATACAAGTTTTGTATGAATATAACTAAACCAAATACGAACATACATTTGAGAAAAAAATAATACACTAATACAAATATACACTGAGAAAAAATTGGCAATAGACTAGTCGCATTTTGTACCCTTATTGTTTCAGTATATTGATTTTTATAATTGCTATTTACTTAGACTTTATTTAATTGGTAGCTTTAGTTGACCGACTTGACTCAGACAAAAATAAACAAATGTTTTGCATACCTTTTTGCCAATTACCTTCTTGCTAACTTAGTAGACGCCTTTTCTTTATATAAGACCTAAGATCCAATCACAATTTTTAAAAGCTGCACATCCTTTTAACTAAAAACCGAGCTAAGCAGAATGCCAGAATATTTATTTCCCCGATGAGTGATAGAGTGATTCGGCCACAGAAGCTTATGGCGCTTCGTTTTAGATGGACACAACTCGCAAATATTATTTAAAATTTAGAGAGCCCCAAGGAAAGTCGACCGCAAACCAAAAAATTAAGACTTCGACCAAACATTAAATCCCCGAAAGTGAACAACACCTGTGAGGATTCACAGACCAATTTGCACACAGCACCCGCATCTGCTTCCCCGCCCTTGGACCAAACACAATTTTGCACATTTTCACATTAGTTTTTTGGTCGGGAACAATTAAAATAATGACAACAAATGTGAAAAGCGACGGTGAAAACTGACAGCAAAACCAGACCGCAAAAACCCGCCGACAAAATGAAAGTCAGAAGGGCAGCAGACACGCCCACACTTAAAGTTAATTAATAATTTGGGGAAACAATTTCGCCATCACTTTACGTACACGTTTTTGTCCAAGCAATTTGCGAATTTTCATTTAATTTTATTAATTTTCATTTAGTACTTTGCTCCTTTCCTCTATCTCTTTCTCTCTTCTTGTTGGTTCGTTCCGTTTTGCTCGCATCTGTCCCTCTCTTTTGTGTCTCTTCTATTGCCACATTTTTTCTTAACGCAGAGATGTGTGCAGATATTGAAATCGTCACGTCAAATCAGTATGACGGTGCGAGCGCCGCCCACGCTGAACTCGACCGCCCCGCTGCACGGCTTCGGTCCGCCCTCCCGCGACCCCATGTACGCGTCGATGGCACCCCCCTCCACCCACAGAACCAGGCGGCAGCGGCAGCAGCGGCGGCGGCCGCCCAGGGGGCGGGGCTGCCCTTCCGCCAGACCTGCTCGTGGATGGACCGCCACGGACGACCCGCCTCCCCGCCCATGGAGTACGGGGGCAGGCGCAGCGATCGACGGGATCGGTGAGTATATAGGTTTTAAGTTTTATATCTTCTACAATCACAAGTCTCTAGCCTTTTAAAGTTTAAGTCAACTAAATTTTTTAAATGGCAAATTATTAATTACTGAGAAATTATATTTCAAACATCATATTTTTCAAAAGATTTTCAAACTCCTTAAAGTAAATCCGTCGGTTTAAAATTGTGAAATTTAGACATTTTAATGACAAAGTCTATATTCGAAAACAATTTTTATTAACAACTTTTTTTTGTCAAATCGTAATCAAGATCTTTGGAGGTTTGTTTATCTCTACTCGTCCTATAGGACAACGATTTCTAAAGCGATTTTTGGGAGGCTTTTATTACTCTTACAAATATATACCCTCCTCTTCTCTACAAGATGTTTATCTAGTATTATTATCATTTTGTTTCTTTAGAATACGACGCGTGGAGCTGCTGATCGAGCCCGGCCAATCTCTGGGCCTGATGATCCGCGGCGGCGTGGAGTACGGCCTGGGGATCTTCGTCACCGGCGTGGACAAGGACAGTGTGGCCGATCGGTCCGGACTGATGATCGGCGACGAGATCCTCGAGGTCAACGGGCAATCCTTTCTCGATGTGACGCACGACGAGGCGGTGGGTCAGTTGAAGTACCACAAGCGTATGTCGCTGGTGATACGTGACGTGGGCAAGGTGCCGCACTCCTGCACCTCCATCGAGATGGAGCCCTGGGATGCCTACAGTCCAACGGGCACAAGGTGGGTGTCCAGAACCCCAAAATTATGATTAAGGTCTATAAAATTTATAATTTGATGTTACAGAGCACGCCGAAAAGGTCAAATTGCGACCATGGTGGAGGAGAAGGCGCGCTCTCTGCTGCCCCGTCATCACTTTGCAAGCCTTTCCTACTATATTGCCGAATATAGTGCGAAAGCAATGACCATAGATGCCTTTGTTGCCGTCTTATTAGAGATGTTAGATACGTACGAGAAGGTGAGTTAAAACGGGGAAAAAAATATATGAAAATGCCTGATTGTTTTAATTTCCAGCACTCGCTAGTGACGGAGATACGGGAACTGGTATTTCCCGAGGATCGCACGCGATACGACGAGCTAGTCTATCGCAGAGAACGCGATCCTTACAGCGTGGATAGGCATAGGGTAAGCCAGAAGATTCTTATTATCTCTTGGCCCCCATGTAAACCCCTTTATCTTTTACAGCGTAAGGGAGACCCCGCCCGTGACTTGCCGGTAAGCTTTTTAGAAGATTTATTCTACGACACAGACACCATATACACTTAGTTTTAAGAGACATTTCTCTAAACTGAAAATACCCAAAACACTGAGCATGTTCTACCAATTAAAGTCAAACTAAACGTTGATTACTGTTCAACCGGTCTACTGTCCACTATTCGTCTATATATACTATACTTATATATCTCCTACAAAATGTTTATTGTTTAGTATATCTTTCTCTTCTTGCTGTTGTCGTTGATAATTGTTGTCACTGTATGTTTGTAACTTTTACTTTAATTTATCTGTTTCAACTGTAGACAAAATACAAATAACACTCGACAAAAAGAAAATCAAAACAAAAACTTGTAGTTTAATTGTTGAACGAGATACACTTGATACTTTCTTTAGCCACACAACTTTAAACCAGTTACTGCTTCTTTCATTTCCCAAAAATTGCATGTCATTTTCCTTTGTTTTCTGTTCAGAAAGCTTTCAGTAACTCGCTTACCTTTAATTCGGCCCTTTGTAAGTAAATTTACATTACAAAACAAAAGCAATCAAATCGAATGTCAATTTTTCCAAAACAAAAACACATAAACATACAATTTTAGTTACATTGTAGTGGCAAAGGTTTTTTTAAAAATATTTTTAATAATAAGAAGTAGGCGCGGAGTGGCGTCAAAAAATTATGACAATGTAAATTAAGCAAAAACGAAACAAATTCTATATTTATTACATGCATAATTGCAAACAATTAATAATATTTTAAGGTACAGTTGACTCAAAAAAGCACAACTGTCGTTGTAAATAAAAATTATAAATTTCTACTATATATATATATATAACAATACTTAAATATGACTGTATCAAAAGTCACTTAGATAAAATTTGGTGAATAGCTTTAGTATTACGTTTAAGTAACGAAATTACTGTAAGATAACAAATCGAACCCAAGTTATTCCACTTCAAAAATGCACCAAATGAATAAACAAGAAACCACAACAGTCACCAAGAATCAGCACCAGAATAAGCATATAAATACCAAGCAATATAACTATCGATTGAAGTACAAATGCACTACCAGACACTCTATCTCTGTCGCTCTCTGCCTCTTAGATGCTATCTATGTATCGATCTGTCTCTCTATCTCTGTCTCTATCTATGCTCGGTAGAATTCTACGGAAGCCTAGACTAGAACCCCTTTCACTCACTCACTCTCAAGCTGTCCAGCTGTCACTGTCTCACTCGCTCTGAATCGTATGCAAACCAAATCGTTCGTTTCGTTTCGATCCATTCCGTACCATTCCGTTCCGTTCCCCAACAGGTAACAGCCGATGATTTGGAAATTATAGCCGCCACCGGACGGAGTCCTTCGTCGGACTCGGGATTGGGCATGACCGTTACGGATATACACAAACGGTACCTTGCTAATAACCGAAAACCCATTTCCCATAGCACCTGATCCTTAACCCATAACCCCAATCAGTGTTGGGAAGCGTACTAATTTATCGCAATTTCCAATCAGAGAAATTAAGTTAGTTAAAACTTACATAACATTGTCATCATCTATGTGAATATATCAATAGATGAAGGTGTTGATCACAAACGTTGAAATAGTTAAACGAACTTTCTTAAGCAGCTAAACCCAGTAGGGAATTATTGCGGCAAAGACGGCAAACTCAGGTAGAACAAATTAAAAAACTTTTCAAATTAAATTAAATTAGGGAAATTGGAGATTTTACCTAGATAGAACAAATGCAATAATATATTTATTTACCTAAGCCAACTAATCTTAATATCTGGGTACTCCCCAACACTGATCCCAAAACCAAACCAAACCAAACTCTCAACCAAAACAGTTAACTGACCTAGTGTATATGTATACGATAGACCCGCACTACAGTTGCCCCATCGACCCATGTCGGCGGGACCCATACTGCATCGCTCACAGCCAGCATCACATTATCAGACAGCAAGCCACCAGTCGTCATCATCATTATCGCCTCCACAACAACAGCAGCAACACCAGCAGCAACATCAGCAACAGCAGCAACATTATCCACCCCATCATGCCTCATTGCGTCATCTGGGCGGAATTGGCGGCAACGTGGGATCTGGGCGACATCATCACCACCATCCGTTGGGACCAAGTCAATTGAAATTCAAGCAGGCCAAAGACAATCAGCAACAGGTCAGGACCGAAGCGAATCGGGCGAACAGGGTAGCAAGCTATCAGTCTACTACTTTCACTGTTCCTCAAGCTGTTCTGTTGCAGATTTAAGATCTTACTAAGTTTTCCCATCTCGAACTAAGGCTCTTTTACGAAAAATACTTCCAAGCCAGTTGACCAAAATTTAACTATTTCTATCTTGTGCATCGAATTTCCAAAGGGTTTCTTTATATTTCATGGCACCCAAATTGGTTTAAATGCTGTATTTTTAATTTCTCAACGCTTTGGGTAGGAAAAAATTGACATTCGCCGAGGTTTTCGACTGTCTGTTGTGTATGTTTTACTTTATTTTGTATCTTTAGTGTCTTTATCTATTCATCTCTATCTCTTTTTTGTATCGTTGTCTCTTGTTGTGTGTGTAAAACGTCTATTGTCGTCTTTTTTTATGTTTGAATTATTTTCCATGTTTGTCCAACTGCTCAATGTGGTTTTTATTTACGTTTTCGTCTCGTTTTCCGGTTATGTTGTACTTCCTTTTTAAATGTTGTCCAATTGGCTATTGAGTGTTGTAATACCGTTAAGTCGCATTAAGACCAGTGCCAAACTGAATTGGTTGGTTACCAGCAGAAACTAAAAAAAACTATTTAAGCCGCTGAACAATTTATTTTGTAAATTCTTTTATCCCGGCTTAGGAATACGGCTGTGAAGAGCACAGAACTCGCCGGGGCAGCGAAACCCTTTTACCGGAATACGATCAAGATGCGGTGAGTAAGAGCGGCGATCGCGATTTTGTTGTAGGAACACTATCTTCTTGGGGGGGATTAACTGTAGAGAGTGATTATATTATTCGTAGTGCAAAGTAACACCCATAAATATATATCTTATCTTCCATTTGCTCATTCCATGAAGTGCCATTTCATGATCAGCACACTCCAACTCAATAAAAAAACTATACTCAATTTTTGTATTCTTTATTATTTATTCTTTGTATCTGTAACTGTATCTGTATCTGTATCTATAGTACGTTTACTAGTCTAACGCTAAGCTTAAGCACTATCCTACGGGGGTTATGTATGGGCAGCATGTTTGCCTAGCCAGTCGGCTATGTGAGGTCCTCCTCCTCACATCTTGTCGTGCATGGAGCCGTCGGCCATCATGGGTAGATGGTAATCGCGTGGCGGCGTGAAGGGTCGCACAAAGTGTCGCCACTGCCGGTGGTGCAGGGGCGGGGGCGGCTGGATGGGCGTGGATGTGGGCGTGGTCGCGGCCGCTGTCACCGCATGGTGGTGCTGCTGATGGCAACTGTTGGGCTCGAATTTCGGGCGTGGTATGCGCAACTGTTTGATCTCCGTCAAATAGGTTTCCATGTTGTCGCCAGTCGCCTGTTGATGTTTGATTTGTTTAAATGATTTGTTGTTCTTTGGCCAAGTTGCAATCAGTGTGGAGTGGACTTTGTTTGAGGGTTTGTCATTGCACTCGATGGAAAAAGTCGGTTAAAGTAAATATGGGGAATGGGTGGGGGTTTGGTAAACATGGAAGTCCTGAGAGCGTCAATTTTTAACAACCCTGACGGAATTAGTTCAATTTAAATTGCCTGATTTTCATAGTTAATTTTTTCATTAAAAATGAAAAGGAACTTATTTTATTTAGTATTAAGATCTGTGAATTATGCGTTACCATCAATACAAATCTTTCCTTTAGATTATAAAGCTACATTGTTATTTGTTCAAGCTATTAAGGTTTTTTATATTTTAAAAACAAAAGACAGCCAAAAAGTATTTTTTAAGGATTTGTTTAAACTGCTATTAAATTTACAACTTATATATCAAATATTCTCTCATTAAAAAAATGTAATGAAAAAGTCTTTACAATCCCAAAATGTTGAGATATTGCGAAATTCAATTACGTGGGAGCTAGCATTTCTTCATGGGTATAATAAACATAAAGAAGAATATTCCTATCCATAACAGGGTTACCTAATGAATTTACAGCATTAAGTTGCAAACTATTTCTTTCGTGCAAGAACTGTTCTTTAACAAAGAATCTTTTTAATGTACTGCAAACATTACTTATTCAGCTCTAATTTGGCTCAAAGTGAAAACTCGAATACTTCAATCTTTTGATGAATGTTTCCTCTCTGAGCAAACTTCGTCAGCCAGGCACTCAGCTCTCCCCCACAACTTGTTGAGTAAGTGCAGGAAAAGTGAAAGTAAACTCACCGCCAAAACCTCAATTTAGAGTGTGTGTGTTATGTGTGAATGCGGAGTGCTTGGCTAGAAGACAAGACAAGAAAATTGCAATAATTTCCGCAAAAGGCGTTCAACCGTATCACATGCAGCCAGATGCAGTCAAGTTCAGGGCAGGATTTTCATTCGGTTCGCATGAAATTGATTTGGATGGTGTGGCAGCGGGGCAATGAGAAGCTAAACAGCTTGCGATCCGCTTGCTTAGCCCTGTTTACACAGCTGACACCATTTGGGCCGGCTTGACCGACCGATGAACGATGGTAGTTGGTCGATGGTAGATGGTAGATGGCCGATGTTCGCTGGTCGCTGGTCGATGGACAGACCCGACGGACTCGACCCAGACGGCAGCTGAGTAACCAGTTTGATTTCAACTACAACTGACAAACAACTTTTTGTTGGATGTCGCTTGTCTGGCTTATGGGACACTCACTTTTTCGAAATTACCGGGACGGGACAAGGGGATAGAAATCGAGGTGGGGCGGGAGATCAGCCAGAGCAACGGCCAAGACCAAAAACTTAAAGTGGGTCATTAGAGAAATGTACTAAATAAGGTACAAAACTTTGTCAAGAGCAAACGTAAATGGAAAGTAAACTGTTGTTGCTGCAAGCTAGATGGAAGAAGTTGTTTATAATGTAAATAAACCATTTAGATGCGTAGCGAAAACCAGTCAGAAGCTGAAAACAAAAACAAACCCAAGTCCGGTCGGTCTACGCATTCAGTTGGTTGAAGACTGTCAGTTTGAAGACATGTCTGTCAATAGGAGAACACTCTTCTTCAAAATAATGAGAACCTTAATTGAGGCAAACGGAGGGGAGGGAGAGGGGGAGGTGTGAAGTCTCGAATCTCGATTAACCGTTATGACAAACTCTTTTACGTCTATCCATTTTGTTGTTTTAGCAATCCGGACAGCTTGTCATCTTTTGACATTATTAATTATACTTGACTGGGTTCCCCGGGGGTTAGCTAATTATGTTACCTTTTATATACCCTAAGAAAATTAAGAGTCGTTTGTTGGCCTGAGGGGAGCTTTTCAAAGATTAAAGGTATACCTTAAAACAATTCAAAGCGAAAGCAAATTCTAAAGACAAAATATGTTTTTTACAAAGTAACATATAAAAATTTATAGAATATAGAAAAGTATTTTTTTTATACTAATTAGTTTAACAATTTTTTTAAATAAAATTGCTTAATAAAAAATCTATGTTTATTGTCTATTTCCAAACCATTAATTGTATAATTAATTTTTTGATTAAACAACTTTTTTTCTTAGTCCAATCGACACAAGTAATAAAATACAAATTTCATCATCAACATTTCCGATGTTTGATTTATGTAAAAAATAAACTTTAAGCTATAAGTATAGGCAACTGCTCTTTAGGCTAAAAGTTGATATTGGTTAACTATTAATCTCTAACATGGATTTCTTCTGCCTTGGGGAATTATCTTTTTTTGCATTCCATTTTTATCGACTTGTGACAGTTTCACGAAACCCCGATTTTGTTTGAATTTCATAAACATAATTTGTCCGACCTTGCAATGGCATTATTAAAATCCAGCTTTGGGATCGAAATACGTTGGGCAACTCCATCGATGCGGTGGCGAACCATTGGTGAACTCGGTTCCCCTCCCACTCCGATGCGTGTCTAATGACAAAAAGGTGCCCCTGCCCCCCAGTTCCTCCGCATTCACCAGCCTCCGAGTAAACACAACGAGGTCAATGGCATGTGCTATGAATGATGATTGCCAGCTTTTCGAATCGAGTTACAAAAATTGAGCCACTACGGCTAAAAAAACATCATCAAACACGACAACAAATCTTGGCTGCAAAAGTTTGCAAAGTCATAAATTTGATTGATTTCGGAATGGTTGCTCTGAGCAGCTTACCAAAAGACGCAAATAACGATTTAACAAAAATTGGGATAAAAAATTGTCCGAAAATGATGTGCGTAAGGAAAATACAGTTAAATGGGCTGGCAGCCAAGCAATTGACTGAAAGTTTTCATTATTGTTTGGAAAATTCTCTTTCTCTTGCCTGTGAAAGTTGTGTGCTGCCGGTTTTCAGAGTTGTTCCTTGGGTTCTGGTGAAATTTTTCTGGTTCTGCCAGTCTGAACCTTTTTTTTTTGAAAAACTTTTCTTAAAGTTAAACAAAAGGTGAACATTTAATTTATTGTCTAATTCACACTATTGTTATGGCAGCGATGAAGTCAGATGCCTGAGATCGCAGTTGTGCTCTGTGTTGTGACATTGGATATGAATAATTTTGTTAACATTTGGGCTAGCTCATTGACCTATAAAGCAACTGCCAGCTGACCGAATGTCTAAGAACAATTTATCAAATCTCCGGCTGTGATTTCGTTGATCGGCGGTGATGAGAAGTGGGTCAGATTGGTTGGTTGGAAATGATTGGTTAACTGAAACCAATTTTGATGAATGCATTAAGAGCGGAACAACGTTTTATTGGAGCAATCTCCATTAGGTTTCTCCTCGGAAAAGGGTTATTCTTATTTATGCCGTTTCCAATGGCAATTACTTTAGTCAGTTGTCAGTGCCCTTAGGCTTTAAGACACTCTGAAAGCCTGTCCAAAAAGCCATTAAAAGCACTTCGTTCGTTCTGCGCTTAATGCGAATTTTTTCAAAACCTTTTGGCTTTCCCTACAACTGACAGCCGATGTTTTTTTTCTGGGTCGAAATGTTTAGCAACTATTTCGCAGTCTTACCACCTAGAATCCGCCATTTCCGTCAGCAACTTAATTGCAGAAAAGAAAGACAACAAATCAGCCGAAAACCGCTGTCTACCTCTGGCAATTAAAAAAGTAACGAAACAAAAACAGAAACAGAAGCAGAAACAAAGGAAATTAGCTGGGCCAAAAAAAGGTGAGAAATAGAAGTTAATTGAATGCAAAATGCAAAGCAATAAAGCAGCCGACACATGTCGGACTAGTCTGCCAAAGGCCCCAAAAACTGAGCGCGATGATGATATAACTAAAGTCGAACAGAAGAGCCAGGCCAAACTTCTGCTGGCATTATTATTATTTATGCAACCATTTTGCCAGCAAACAGAGCGCGAAATGTAACGAAACGCGAGATTTGTCAACTCCACAGCCAACTTGTTTCTCGTTCAATTTAAGCCGAATAATACGCACTTTTAGCTGATACTTCTTGGCCGCACAAGTCGTTGTAAACGTATTCTGCTGCTCTGCTAACTGGGATTTCAACCTCACGTTCGAAGCGACGACGCGCGACTGAAACTGCAGACTTTTCTGAAGGTAGAGCTGCGGCTGAATCCATAGTTGCTGCTGCCCGGTTGTAGTTGCTCTTGTTGCTGTTGCTGTTGCTGCCGTTGCTGCTGCTTCGACTGCTGCCAAAAGCCAACGATGCCCAGCCAGCCGGAGCAGCAGACTTACTCTTTACTGGCCAAAGTCGTTGGCAGTTAGTAAAGAGTTTGAACAAAAATACCCAAAGACCTAGTCACATAAATAGAGTTGAACTTTCGTACTTAAATAATTTTAAATAAATTAAGGAAATTTAAATTTAAAAATAGATATATACTTAGTTTATCAGTAAAACAATATATACTAACAATGATGGTTGTAAAGAATTTCGAAAAATTAAATTTGAGCAATATATTTATTGCCTAAGATCTTTTTTGAATTTATTGAAGAATATATTTTTTTATAAATCTTCAGAAACCATTATACTAAAATTAAGTTTTAAATATATATAGTATATAATTTATTAGTAAACAAAATTTCATTTGGAGACCAAGATACATAAGAAATACATATTCAGATTTGTGGATTTTATGATTGATATGAGTTTTGAAACAAAAAAAAAGTGGTTTCGCAGCTTTGATTTGCCGTTTCGCCGTTTTAGAAATCTCTGGGGATCTAAAAATGATTAGTACAAGAACAAATATAGAAAGATTTTTAAAGAAATTTAAAGGAATTACAAATCTAATAGTTTCTTAAGTGTAAGCTTTTAAGGTAATCATAACAAATATTTAGGATAAGAAAAGAAGATGATTATGTTTTTTTACTTATTCTTTTCACAACCTACTATTGGTGTGATATACTTGACAAATTGGTATAGAATGCAATGCAAACATTTATCTCTGCTAGAGCATTTACTAGTCTGCTTGGCTTAGACATATTTTTTATCTTGGGGCCTGTGTTGTTGCATTTGAGTTTTGCTTTCTTTGACGTTTTGCCACTGAACGTTTTCCCAGTTACTTTTTATGGCCTAGTAATGTAAAAAATTACCCACAGCGATGACAGAAAACAATGGCAAGCTATTTGATAAACAAAGATTGTCAATATTTATGACTAAAAATTATACTGCAATTATATCGCCAAGATTTATGTTGTAAGTGTAAGTGTGAGAGTGCGATTTACGCAATGGTCAAACTGGAGTGACAAATAAATAAAATGTATCTCTGGGATACTGCGGTGGTAACTGCAGCTGACAGTGACTGCAGCTGTGCGACGTTTTTTGTTTCCTCCAGGCCCCTTGTTTTTTTTTTCTTTTATTTATACCACTTTGGTTTTGTTTTGCTCTGGCATGACGTAAACGGAAAATGTGTTATTTCTGCCTACTGACTCAGGCGGGAGTAGATGGCCAGGAAAGGCGAGTGCTTTTGGCATTGAAAAGAGATGATGCTCATTAGTCGTTTAATCGGTGATAATTAATTTTTCTTTTTCGGTTTCCCATCTTCTATTTTATTCGACATCGTTCCACGCTGCGTATGCGCAATGGATGGGTATCGCATTAATTGGAAACAGGAACAGGTAAGCTCAATGTTCGCCGCATTCGCCGTTTGTTACACTTTAAGCACTTTTCGAAACTATCTTTTCGACACACTCACACTCAACCAAATGCCAACACACACACACACACACACACACACACACACACACACAGACACACACATAAGTATATATATGTATTTAAACTCCAAATTATATACGTACATAACAAAGGAAAAACCAATAAGGAAGCAATCGTAAACAAAGAAAAAAAGAGCATAAACAAACTCTTGTAAATATTTAGCTCGCTACTCGGTTTTGAGCCATTTACCTAACTAATTTCGCCGATGGTGTTTCGTGTGCATAATTTTCAAATGCAAGAGGTGGGAACGGTGGGCGTATTACAGGCCCATGCAACGAAGCTTTGGAGAAGATTACCTCACAAAGTTTTGACATAACCAAAGCTAATTAGCAAATGAACGCGTTTTAGTGGGTGTAGGCATAGTTTAAATCCGAGATTATTCAGCGGAACAAAGGAAATTCAAATGGAGGCCTTAAAGTATGCTATTAAAATGTACTCGAAATGTTGCCAGCAACATTTGCGGCCAAGCAATCATACTTGCTTATCAACATGATGCCAATCAACATTTGTTGCCAAGTGCTAACAGGAAATTCTAGAAATTTATAGTGCACATATATATTTAATTAAAACATTTCCAATTCAGTTGAACTAGCTCTAATAGTAACAAATAAAAAAAAATAGTATTTAACCCATAACAACAGTAGAGATTGTAGAGGTAATTTGATTTAGATACATAAACAAACCCATTTTATGGTTAAGACATTAGCAATATATTGTTAGGTATTCAATTTCCAATTGTTCATCTTAGTAGTTATGGTTACCATAAATAAAAGTAACTCTTAACCTACCGTAATCTTCAAAATGTATTCAGTTCAACTATATATCCAGTAATAAACTAAAAGTAGCTTAACTAGTTTAATACAAACCTAGGAACCCCACAAATACCCACAGAATCCTCCTATTTCTTTCTCTCTTCAACCCTAGCACACTGATTTTCCCCCCTGATTTCCACTCGATTTCTCTCATTTCATTCGGCACCCTCAACTCCACCACCACTTTTGTTGTTCCATCAGATCCATAGACTCCAGATCGTTTTTGAGTTGGATTTCCGTGACCTCTTGTCCCGTACTCCCCGAAATTGTTCTTGTTTGTTCATTTGTGTGCATTTCAGGGCGGCTACTTAGATGGACTGCGTTCACATTTGGGTGGTTTAACACAACGTGTCAAATCATGGTATTGGGGACGACCTCTAGTAAGTGCCAATGTATTTTTCGTTAAACGTTAAAACGAAAACAAAACAAATACCTAATAAATAACAAACGACACCAGCAACCACAAAATAGAAATTGTGTTCGCAAGTTGAGTGGAATAATTTTTGTCTGCGAAATGTTCTCACAGTCTGCATTTTGTTTTTCTTTTGGAACAGATCTTTCAATTTGCATCTCGTTGCATTCAATTTAGCCTGAACTACTTAGTATTGTTGCTATCACTCTCTCACTCGCTCTCTATCTATGTCTCTCTCTCTCTCTATATCTCTGTAACTCTGTAACTCTGTCTCTCTATTAACTAACTTAACTAACTTAACCGTTTTTGAATGTGCATTGCAACGACAGCCACTGCAAGTGCCATTAAAATACCAAAATTAAAAGATTGTTGTACTAAATTCGATTGCATATCCAGCATTTTGTGTTGTATTCGTAGGAACTGTGTTTTAGTTTTGTGCTCTCATTCCAAATCAAATTTTGCTTGCCCCACAAGTTAAACCACATTATTTCCATTGTGTTTCGTTTTTTAATTTGTTCGTGGCGCACTCGAAAACTTTTCATATAGATTTTCTTAGTCTCTTTGTAAAGTAATGTAAGTATCTTAAACAAAAGCTAAACAAGACACAAGACTAAAAAGCCAACAATGCATTTAAAAGCGAAAGGTTAAGCCTTTATGACAAAAAATCAACCAAAGTGAAATAAAAAGAAACCCAAACAAAAAAAAAAAAAAAGAAAAGAAAAGCTTGAAAAATACATTTGCACATTTACGCATGAGTCACCCCGATTTCTAAACACACGCAAAATATCAATATCCGTATCAGCATCGAATTAATTGGTCTTGGTTCACCGCCAGCCATAATTCACCGATTCACCTCTCACACACATCGATTTGTAGTGTTTTACCATTTCTTTTCATTTGCCCTGTAATTAGTGTAAATCCCGATTTATGTTGGCCTTTATTTTAGCTGCTGCTCTCCCACACACCACACCACTATACAGCGACATCCACACACGCACCCCAATATCCTAGTTGTAGTTAGCAGCTCTTAGTCCTGTAAAATACTCGTAAGTTGAAGTTTTCAAGTTTTAGTTAGCGCTACATTTGGTCCTACCTAGTCCGACATAGTCTAGCTAACAAAATCTAAGTGTCTTAGTTGCCAAATCTTGCTATTAGCTTATAGAAATAGATTGTATAATAATTGTATAGTTGCAAAGCCTTAAATTGCACAAACTCAAAGACAAACACCAAAACCCAGCCACACACAGACTATTCCACCGATACGCACACAGCACTCGCATATTCATAATTTGCACTCTTGACCTCAGCTTAGTTCATGATACTAAATAGGTGAGAAGCCGATAGTCCAATATTTAGATGCAGTGACTTTAAACTACTCATTTCATTACGTGTGTAAAATGGTTTCAATTAAATTGAAAAATATTTTAAACTGTTTTCCGATTACAAAATATATCTGGTCTTTAATTTTATTTTTAATTTAATAGAAAAATATTTTATACAATTTTGGCTTAAACCAGAAAGTTTTCAGTAAAGCCAATTGCCATTCAAAGAATTGCATTCTCCAGTGATAAGCTGCTCCATTCTCCAGTGACAAACCACTGCAAAGCTAATCAAGCAATCAAAGCTTAAATCAACGAATAGTCCCATGTGGTGAAAGGTAGCCAAAAATCAAATGGAAAAAGGAAAAATGAAAACACTGCAATTCAAAGCAAATCAGCTCAGCTCAGCTTAGTTCAGTTCAGTCCGAATGTCAATCGATATCCACAATCTCTAGCTGTCCCCCATCTCTCTCTCTCTCTCTTTCTAAAGCACGCTTTTGGCATATGCTGTCCCACTGAAAACACCCATCCACCGACCCGAAAACAACCCCACCACTCAATTTTAAACCACCGTATAGTCAACTGCCATACTTTATTCAATTAAGTTTCTATCTGTATGTTTGAAAGTGAGCGAGAACCAAAACAAACAGCAAACACTTTCGAAAACGGCTACAAATCAAGAACTATATATATATTCTAACCATATTTCACACGCAACCAATACAGTCTACCAAGAAATCTACAACGTTTTTTATCTCTACTACAAGCAACTACAACGAATTCTTATGCAAATATCTCTACTATTTTCATTTTACATTCAACTTATTGTACGACAAAAATCAATCAAATGTTTGCTCACTATGCAAAATCCAAACCAAACCAAAAAAAAAAAAAAAAAAACAAACAAACCAAACAAATCTATTGCCAAAATACTATGTGGCCATATCTGAAAACCGAAATAATTAAATGAATAGGAGTTGGCCACAAAACTCTCACGGAGTTTCGATATGAAGGAAGAAGGCGGCACATTGCTGGGCGATAAAGGTGTACGAAGGCATCAGGTGAGTGCTACTCCAAACTAGTGCAAGAACACTAACTTAACAGATATCTACAAATAATAACTGAATACAGCACTTGAATGCCAACAAACAACTTTAATAAGACAAACAAAAATCGTATGAACAATGAGTTTCGGCTCATATTTAATCAGTGTTATATCGTAGTCATAAGACTTTCGTCGGTTTTTCTATTAAATTTTATACAATTCGGTCACCCCAGAACATTTCATGATTCATTCCAAACAAATCACACAAAAGTTTCTTCTTTCTCTCTATCTCTCTTTACCTAGCTCCAAAATAAACAGCAACTATGCCATTGAATATTTTAAACTAGCAATATTTGTAAATTTGAATTGGCCTACCTTTCCATAGCTTGAACCGTTTCCTATTGTTTGAACCACACGTAAATAAGTACAACAACCCAAAACAATATTTATTAACAAAGTCCTTGAATCAACCAAATGTTAAATTGCTTGCCTTTACCAAATCACAAAAAAAAATCTTTTTTACCAGCTTGAACCAAGTTATTTTTGATCAAACCAACACACAATTAGAACTTTAAGCTAATCTTAGAACTTATGGATATCGAAGAATTATAAATCAAACTTGAAATATTATTTGAAATCCGTAAATTATTGAATTGTTATTACTCAAATGCGAAACATTTGCTTTTCAGTCCATGCAGCGTCTGTCAGCGGAGCAGAATGGTGGTTCAACGACTGAACAAACACATGAACACAATCCAAACGTCGTACCTGATCATAGAGGCAACTTACACATTACAGTTAAGAAAACCAAACCAATTTTAGGTATTGCTATTGAAGGTGGTGCTAATACAAAACACCCGCTTCCTAGGATAATCAATATCCATGTGAGTACGCCATTAAATATAGCATGATTTTTATAATTAATTGAATATTAAAACAGGAAAATGGTGCAGCATTTGAAGCGGGCGGCCTTGAAGTCGGGCAACTCATTCTGGAAGTAGATGGAACCAAAGTGGAAGGTCTACATCATCAGGTAAAGTGTTATTTAAAATTTTAACTATAACGTTTATAAGATATTAAATAAACATTTCCATTTATTTTCCAGGAGGTTGCTCGACTGATAGCCGAATGCTTTGCTAATCGTGAAAAGGCTGAAATAACCTTCTTAGTTGTCGAAGCAAAAAAATCAAATTTGGAACCGAAGCCGACGGCGCTGATATTTTTAGAAGCCTAACATTTGCTTGCCCTGCCGGCCAGTGACCCATTGGAACGACAAAAACTCGAGTTCCTCTATGAATGGGGCATCGATTTAACGGAGACGCCAAAACCAATGCCAACACCAATACCGCTAACGAAAGCCAAGAATCCGCCGCCACTGCCCCATGAGATGCACAACAACATCAACAGCCACTATGGTAGCAGTGCGGCGATCAGCAATCATCAACCTCATTCGCATCCGCATACACATCCTCACCAGCAGCAGCAACAACAACAGCAGCAGCAACAGCAGCAACATCAAAACACCAAAACGCCCAATACAAACAACAGCAACACACAAGCAACACCAACGGGAGCAGCGACAGCTGCTAACAAACAACAACAGGTAAACACCAACACACCAACAAAGGCGTCGCGTGAGGCGACTCCCACGCGGGATTCACATCAGCAACATGCCACGCCTACACACCAGCAACAAACGCCCACCCGCCAGCAGCAGCTGCAACGTGAGCAACGCGAGCAACGGGAGCAACGTGAAACACGCGAACAACGTGAACAACGTGAACAGCGTGAGCAACGCGAACATCAGCTACACCAACGCGATCAGCAGCAACATCATCGCGAACGGCAGCAACAATTGCGAGAGCAACGCGAACAACGCGAAAGGGAGTATCAACACGAACACGAACACCACCACGAACAACACCCACACCAACACCACCACCATCGTGAACACCACGAGGAACAACACCACCACCATCATCATTATCATTCATCTGGATCACAATCACAACAGCAACACCAACGCTACAGCAGCAGCAACAGCTACAAATCTCATAATAATTCCGTTTACCAGTAAGGAGAAACCGAAAAGCAAGAGTCAAAAATACAATTCTCGCAATTGGAGCAACAATTTTTTGGAAACATTCTTTTCAAACTGCAACAGCAATTCAACCAGTAAACAGTTTAATTGTGCTACCTTTGTTGAAACAAAAACGAAGACCTATGCCCCTCATGCACGCCTCTTTCTACACTGAACACAACGCGCTTGTTAAAAATAAATATACAAAATTGTCCCACAACTACCACAAAACTATGTGGGTCACCATATCCTGCTATGTACCCTAGAAATGTGTTAATTTGTTGTAGCTGACGAGATGCTCTTACCAAAAAAATGTTGAAAGAAAGAAAGTTGAGTCTATAGTTTGTAACAACCCCTTATAAAGTTTTGTGTGTTTGGTTTGTTTATTAAACCCATTTCTGAAATATCAAATGCAAAATTTTAACACTGCCAAGGTTAATGAAAAACAATAAAAATATTAAAAAAATAATCAAGAGCATCTCTCTCACTTGGCTTTCCGTTCGATCCTTACAGTGCAGTATATGGCTCGCCCGAAAATTCTCTTAGAACTAGAACCAAAAACCACTCCTATCCTCAACTAGAATAACCAGAGACAAGACCTATCCAGTCCTTAGGTATCCGTATCCTAAGACCCTCTATCGAACCACGAACCACGCGCTAGACGAACTGTGTAAATCCGTGTAAACTCTATAACATATTATTGTATGATTATTATTACTATTGAGTATCAAGCGATCAACGTAGCTTAGACAGTTAGTCATTACTTGTTTACACTAGTGACGAGAAATGTTTACGTTCACGAGATTACTGTAAGAGCAATGTTAGTTGATGATAAACCCACAAAAGTCCCCAAGAAAAAGCATCCACAACCCAATAAGGCATACATTAAGAAAATCAAGAGCTTAAAATGTTAAAAACGAACAAATAAAATATCTAAAAATCCCTTAAACAGTAAGCAAAAAGAAGATGATGCAGAGAAAAATAAGCAAAAAAAAAAATGAATAAAGGCACAGACACTGTAAAATGTAAAAATAACCAGCAAACTAGTAACGAATTGTCGCTTTTGTTAGATTCAAACATACACTAACACACACAAATACACGTATGCACGCCACTCACACACACACGCATGCATATTGCCAAATTGATTGTATTTACAGCAGCTAATTGAACAAAACAAAAAAACCTACAACAAACAAAAATGAAGCCCACCTAAGCAAAAGTTAATTTGTAAAAATAAAAAGTAATCTTAAAATAAAATCACAAAAAATGTAAAAAGGTATAAATATATATTTAATAGAAGGAAGCAGTAGCAACGACCACACACACAAACTCACACTTACACTTACACTTACACCTACACCTACACCCACTCAGAAATACCTAGCCTTAAAAGCGCATCAACTCTAAATTTTAACCAAAATATCAAATTATATACCCGCTGTGTTGTAAGATAAATCGATTGATTCGTATATGATTCGAAATGGAGGGGATTATTAGAATTTTAAAATCACTTATAAAGTATGCTTTCAAAAAAGGAAATTTTTTAAAGCCATTGTGAGAGATTTTAAAACCCTAAAGATCTCTGCAGCTCCTTTAATAAATTAATAACTGATTACATATTAAAATCCTCCAACTATTTTCTCGATTAATCTGACAACACCGCAAGGCATATCCCTGTTATTAGTACAACTTAAACTGCACACTGCACAATTTTTGAATGTTTGTTAAATGTTTTAAAGAGCCAAGGGCCGACACCAGGAAAATCCGCTGCAAAATTGTATTCTCCTCACCAACTAACTAAGGAAAATTCCTTGCACCCAAACGAACTTATCCCAGGCGCCCAATAACTCCAACCCAAAGAAAATGGTAAACGAATTATGAAACTGCTAGGGCAGAGAGGCATCTATGTCTGCTCACGCCACTAAAAATGCAAAAATAACATTAACGCTGTAGAGAACAAGAAGAAATTAACGCTTAAAATTTGAGGTTGATTGGCATTAAGTAAAAGTTAAACGATGTTGAAGCAGGAAGAGCCGAGCCGACAGGGCGCGATCACGAGCAAGTAAAATAAATTATATAACTTTAAATGGCACGACGAACAACTTATTGTGCAAACTATAACTTCATACGTATTGTGTAAAATATTAGCAAAAGACAAAATCCTTTTTATAGATCAAAAACAAAACGAAACCAACGTATTTTTCGCTCTCTATCTTTCACCTTTGATTATACGATCTACCTATGTATATCTGTCACTCACTCAGTCAATCGTTCAGTCAATCGTTTCGGCAAGTTTGTTGATTTCGTTTGTTGTGTGTGATAGTGTTTGGAACTAAATGAAACTTTTGCATGTCACAAGAGCAATTTGTTCTCCGTAAGACCCCAAGGAGTTAACTTTGTGTCTAATGAATAGGGCTTGTTTTTTATATCATCTCGAATCTTCAAAAGGAAAACTATTTCTCTGCTTAACTCTCTCTTATTAACTCTCTTTATGTATGTGTCTGTGTGGAAAGTAAATATAAAAAATTATTACAATTGAAATTGAATCGTTATATGAGGTAATGTACTTGTATTTTTGTTGACTATTATGTAATTAAACGCTTTACTGAATATCAGTTATGTACATTTTTTAGCTAAAACTAAAAATTAAAATCCAAATTCAAGCAAAGAAGCTTATGCTGTTACTTATTGTTAGTGAATTTACCACAAAAAACAAAAAAAAAAAAAAACAAAACGAAACAAAAAACTACAAAATTAAAACTCAAGTTGAATTTTTCAAAATGTATAAAAAACAAAATCATTTTGCAACGTTCATGCGAGAAGAAAAGAATCAAGGGGATTGCCTTGTGGACGCACTTTCGCCTTTGTATATTGCGATACATTTTGATGAGAAGGCTTAACCTTAACTTTGAGAACTACCAGATAAATATCTATTTAATATAACGTATACATGCATACAAGCAACATATAAACATATACCGTATATAAAACGTATGCTAAACTATATCTAAATTGTAAACGACAATGAGAAGCAATTTTAAGCAAATGAAGAAATCCATTTCAATTTCAACTTCAATACCCCCCACATGCAAAAAACATACACGGATGAGGTAAACCATTTATGTGAATTAATATGTATAGTACTATATATAACTATGATTACAAACAGCAACAAGGCTATCTATATGCTATGCTAATGAAAGGGTAAACGGCATTTAAACTCATTCAACCAAAACCAAAACCAAAACAAACAGAAACAGAAACCGCATCACACGGGAAGTAAATGAAAGCTTATAAATACCATATAGAACCGTATATGTACCATACCATATAGATCCACAACCATGTACCACGTAAATATCGTATCGTAAATAGCAATAGCAGATAGTTATAGTTAATATGGATAGCTAAATTACCGAATAGCAAAGCCTCAGCCGAAGCAAACTTGTTGTACGATTAAGATTGAGCTAGACTTTTAACCAGAGATAATCCAACTTGTAGATATATCGATATATCACATATAAAGTGTATGATTGTGTATATTACCGGATAACAAAAGAACTCTTATGATTTCCAGGTCTCGCTTTTGAGTTGATCCTCTTTAAGCCCAACTAATATACATATATATATATATCAAGCCCCGAAAACCTTTAATGCATTCAGACCAGACCACAAAAACAACCAACTACAACAAAAACAAACTGTGCCACCTAGTACATAACAAGAAATGGTTATATATCTGTATCTGCTATTAAAACACATACAACTTAACACAGACTTGTACTATACCTAGATAAATTATATTTAGAGAAGGAAAACATTCAATGCTCACTTTTATATTTTTTATCATACATACATACTTATATCGAGAAAGCTAATGAAAAGGACACAGAAAGAAGCACCGTAAAAACCACTGAACGACAAAACCGAACAAACATAGGAAAATTCTCATACCCAAAGAACATATATTTATATATAGTGTACAAGTTCTATAAGCCTAGATATTCGTTCCATTGCTTTTTAGAGCCAATTTGCTTTGCTTGCGAGACAAAATCCCCTGGAAAACCCCGTACCTCGGTATTATTTCAACTTCTGACCCCCATTCAAAATGACAATTAGAAAAGATAACACCAGGCATAAACGCAAAAGATCGAGCTAAACTAGTGCTTAGTGTTTAATGATAAACAATTCCAATAAAAGTATTTCAGTTGTGTATATTGTAAAGAACAATTATAAATGAACAAATATAAAGTTAAACATTTAAAGAATAATTCAAAAATTTATTGAAACATTAATAACATAATTGTATTTATCAAAATTAATACAAACAAATTTAAGGCATTAGCATAGCAAAGATAATGGTATACATAAATTGAAATGAAAATGAACACAAAAAGCGCTGATTTAATATTATATTATTAATTATATTATTGCAAACAACATGTGAAAAACAAATGATATTGTCCTTGGTATTTACATATACATAAAGAAAACAGAAAAAAAAACAAAAGAAAAATAAAAAGAAAACGTTTTTTTATATAACCGACATCTTTTCGAGCGCTGCTCTGAGTGGGTTTGAACTGGTTGGGCGCTACGATTGCAAAATTATACATTTTATTTTTGCCTTGTGTTGCGATTAAAATCTATAAGTGTCAAAATAGTTTAATTATTAATACTTTTTTTTACCAGAATTTCTAAACATTTCAAGATTTAAAAAAAATGTTAAGCTCTTTTACCTTAAAAAAATTTATTTTATATATTTTTTTTAAATAACTTATAATAAGTAAATTAATTATTAAAATCACTTGCTCCTCAAAAAATTACTAAATAAACAAAAATATATATATTTATTTTTGAATGAAAGACCTTTCGTAATAAGTTTACATATTCATTAACAAATACTTAAATATTTACCAAAACTTTTGTGTTCAGAATACAATATTAACTTTTTATCTTTAATTTATATAATTAAATAAAATCCCTGGCTGCACTGTTAGGTATTTTCTGTCAATCGGTTTTCAAATTTTCGCGCTCACATCGCCACTCATGCGATGAATCGATAGGCGCGAGCGAGTTCGAATTTGCCGAGAGAGACGGAACGATATTCTCAACTGTGTGTTTATAAGCGAGAACGAATTTTGGTTCGGCAACAATTTCAAACAAGACGTTAAAGGCGACCGTGCCTGCCAGCGACTGTCCAGGAGCCCAGAAATTCCTGCCAGGACTCCAGCCTCAACACACGGTTGAAAACCAAACAGATTTTAATCTCATAAAAGTTTGAAAAGTGCGCGCATCCTTGCCGAGTTTAAAGGTCCTTAAATAAAAGTAATAACAAATAACTTAAAGATGTCTTTCGCCCACGAGCAACTAAATCTGGTCGCCAGCGAGCAGCTGAGCAAAACGGAGACCATCAAGCTGCGCAACCAGCACATCGGGTAAGTCGCATCCTTCCGAAGTCCTTTCCCCACATTCCGCCCTTCGTAATCCGTAATCCGTGGTCCGTAGTCCCTGGTCCGGGTCGTGAGCCTGCGACCTTGCCTTGAATTCGCTGTGGCTGTCAAGGTCAGGCGGCTTCCCCATACTCGGCCCACTCATCGCCTTCCCTCTCTGTCGCTCGCACGTTCACACGACCGCTTTTCTTGTATTTTTGGCACTGTTGCCAACAGCAGCCGCCACCCAAAGAACTTATAAAACAAAAAGTACAAAAAAAAAAAAAACACAGGAAAACAAAAACATGCAGCAGCGGCGTTTGTTACATTTTGGCTTTATTGATTTTATAGCCTGACTGCAAAATAATAGGAAGTCAAAATTAAAAGTCTTTTTACAAAGTAATTCATGTAACTTGGCCAAGAAAAAAGAATTACATATATTTTTCTATAGTCTTCTATCTCGTCTTATCATATAAAGTCTAAATTTCATGTTGGTTTGGTAGCAATAAAATAAAATACATTATTGGCAAAATTAGATGATTTCTAATTATATAAAATTACATAGAAAACTTTTTATACAAGCCAACCAATAGTTTGATAAAATTTCCATATCGTTTGGGCGAAACTTAATGGAATATTTTAATTTAACAAGGGCCATATAACTTGTAAGTGAATGTGTAAGTTCATGGCAATATATATTAATACTTTTTGGGTTTTTTCTTAAGTACGTCATCTTACTTTTGGGATTGTTAGATTTACCAATGAGTGGCAATATATAATTTCTAAAATAAAACAATGACTTAGATTGGGGCTAT